AAAAAAAAATAACGCCTCCCAATCATAACAAGCACTGTCCTGCAAGAGCTGGCTGCTGAAGATGACTTCAGTATCACATTCTGCTTCTCTCTTTCCTGCTCAATGAATTCCTGAGCCAAGGGCCTTCTGGAATATGTTAATCACTCTTTTATTTTGAGATCTATGTGCTTTGTGGTCCCTCTTCCAGTTTCTTCTTGTAGTTGGTTGCTGTGCATCATTGTATCTCTCCATGAGGTGCTATCCACTTAGAAAGATACTCAATATACTGCCAAGTCCTCCTGCTCACCATTGCCATCTCCTGTACCACCATTGTTTCTCTCCCTGGTGCTAGCCTCAAGGCCCAATTACTTCCTACTTTACTACCTGTTTTCCTTAGAGGTATTTAAGTTCTGTGAGATGAAGACCATGCATGCATATCCATCTTTTTTTTTAACCCTGAAGCAACTGAACTGCTTGTTGATGATTACTTGTTGAGTGCAAATTTAATTCAAATGCATTCAACAAAGCATTTTTATTTTGAGCCCTGATCCTATATCGCTGTCCTTGCCATAATTTGTTGATGAGCCAAGTGATTTATGAATATTTCTGGTTGATATATTAAATGCAAGATTTTCTATGATATATAAATTGACCACAGGGTTGAAAGAAATTTAACTTCTGTGATTTTTGCATATTATGGCTAAAATTGTGGACATTATAAATTTAAAAATATTTTCCATGCAGCCATCTCTATCTTCTTCATTATCTACTTTCTCTCTCAGCCTACTAGGACCAAGGTTAGGCTCAGCTTGAGGGCTGGTGTTGTATATCAAGTATAGAATCACTGTTGGGTGAGGTAAGATGTATAAAGAAACAATTCTGAAGGGCATCACCTATTAAATTCGAGGCAGCTGGCTCATGTGAATCATATAGATGAAGAAGAGGCTCAATATAACTCTCAGAGCAGAGCTTGGAAGACCTAGTCCTGGAGAACTTAAATGGAGGAAGATGCGTTTGCAGTGAATGACTGAGGAAGGGTTTAAATTGTTGTTAGATATTACATCTGAGGTGGGTATGATTGCCCAAAGATTTTTGCCTCAGTTTCCCTGTCAATAATGTAAACAAATCCAGAGCACATCACATCCCTGGTTCCACGGCCAACAGTAGGATTAGGAACTTTTGGAAGACTGGTGTTTAATTCCTTTGTTTCCGTTTGAATAGTCTTTCCATGGTTATTAACTTCTTTCCCTGAAGAAGTACAGACGAGTGTAGCCTATTTTCATACTTGGGGGCTTTTTTCTTCTGCATCTAGTCTACTTAATGCAAATGAAGGTAAATGACATATCTGTGCACTGTCAGTTACTTACACTGAGGTGCTCCAATGTCCATACTCTATGAACATTGTATGTCCACACACTTACAAATACAATGCACATACATATGTGGTACATCCCTGACATCTACTAAATGAGGATAAAATTCATCCTAACACTACTCAGCAAAAGCCATTAGAAATAGATTGGGATAGGACACGAATGCTTCTTTACCTTCCCACTTCATCCTCCCCCTCTCCTTAGAGCCTTCCTCTGTGTGCAGCTCTGATTATCTGGAACTCACTAAATACCCCAGGCTGGGCTCACACCGATAACAATCTTCATTCCTCTACCTCCTGAGCTCCTCAGCACCTAGCACCACTCCTACTTCAGTATCCATTTTTTAATCACTTGTTATGTGTTTTGTTTTTTGAGACACGGTTTCTCTGTGTAGCTTTGTGCCTTTCCTGCAACTCGCTTTGTAGACCAGGCTGGCCTCGAACTGGAAGAGATCCACCATCAGGTCAGAGTTGTTTTAGGAAAGAAGAGAATATGAGTTTTCAAGGGCCATACAATCAAATTTCTCCATGAACATGGGAAACATAGTCATGTAAGTGTGTAGACACAGCACCACGTACAGTGGGTTTTTTATAACCCAACAGAATAGTCTCAAATTCTAAGTTGCTGTCACACTCTGCTGGGTCAAAACACACAAATTTCATTGGTACAACACAAAGTAAAATAACTAGGAAAGAGGATAAATATCAGTGTACAGAATAAATTATATCTTTTATTCATAATTTTTGAAACAGGGGTGTATACATGGACTGTATACCAAAGTAAGGTATATAGTCTTAGTATATATAGTCTTAGTATTAAAAAAAAAATTTTAGAGTCATTATTAAGGGGATTTGGGTTGGGAAACAGTGTTTTAATTTGAATGTTCCAGTAAGGGTGCTTCCTGGTTCTGAAAGTACATACAGACCTCTCAAATATCAGAAAGACCTATCAGAATAAACACCCATCAAAAAGAACGCATAATTATGGACCAACTTTTTCTATGACAAAGTCAGCTCCATAGAACGAGCTTACTGTGGAGCAGAGGAGTACCCCAGAACCAAATACCGGTCCGGAAACTTCTAGGAAACAAATGGACTACATACAACAAACTTACATCTCTCTACTTGGAATCGTGCCCTATCTAGGATGCCAGAAGCAAAACTTTCAGAACTGTTCTTGAGAAACCCGACACACCAAGAAGGATAATTCATAATATCCCTCCATTTGTTCATTCCGTATATTTGGTGTATTTAAGATATTCGGGTATTTTAAAACAGCGCGAGATATCTAAAGACAAACAGTAAAATCAATGAATTGGAAGTGACACCCCCTCACTCTGAGGTTGGTAGATTTGTGACTGCTGTTTGACTGCAGGGTCTCTGAGTTCTACTGAACCCCTATTTACCCGGCAAAAATTCAAGGACTCAGGACAACCCGTTTATTGTACCATCCTTTGATGCAAAGGGGAGAACTAAAGAGAATAAAAAGCAGTAAGGGTGGCCTCCAGAGAAGCAGAGCCGTTGTAGCAATCTTGCAAATTAATGAGAATTCACCCAGGACTCGAGAGCGACGGAGAGGGAGAGAAAGGAGGAGACAGAGGGGCGGGGGCAAACCTCTTCCTCTGCAGCTGGCCCAGTCCCTCATTTGTTGCTCCAATAAGCAGTAATTAGGTCCTGAGCTAATGGTGTCAGCTGATCTGCTGTTTTTAGGCTAGACCCAGAGGAAATCTCCATGGAAACCCTGCTGGACTCGTCCCCCCACCTGGATGCCTCCAGCTCCTTTCCGCCACCTGGCTGCCGCCGGGCCCGCTGCTACCTCCTCCTGCCTCTAACCTGCAGCCTGCAGCATGCGCACTGCCCCCGGGATCCCTAAATGGGACAATTCTGCCCGTGACGTCAGCGCCCAGCCGTCTCCACAGAAACTTTTGTCCCATTGGCCAATCAGAGAGCTTGGAAGGGGCCTAGGGGTGGGGGGTGGGAGGAGAGGGGAGTGGGAGGGGTGGGGGTGAGGGGAGAGGCGAGAGGTTTAGTGTGTGGAGCTGCTCGCGCAGCGCCCCGGCTGTCAGTCCCGGCTAGGGCCGCCTCGAGACCTTCCAGGAGACGCGCACCCCCGCACCCCCGCGCCCCGCACACCCTCGCTCGACCACACACACGCACACGCTCAGCCTGGCCGCGCGGGAGCCACTGAGCAGCCGGAGAGCACCGGGACCGGCTGCGGGCGGAGGACTGAGCCGCGTTCCCACTGGGGCTTTCGCCGGGGCGACCGCAGCGAGCCGCCGGGGTGGGCTCGGACACCTCAAGGAGCGCGGCGGGGGTCGGGCCACCGGGCTGGCTGAGCCGAGCCCTGCGACCCGCGGGGGCCTCGGCGGGGAGTGCAATAAAGAGCAGCGGCCGCAGCGAGCAGGACTGGAACTCCCCTGGTTCCAGCGCCGCCGTGACACACGGGTGGAAATCCTGATGGAGGGATCGCTGACTTCCTTTGCTTGGGAAAATCGTCAGGAGCAACTCCGATTTGGCTCCTGGGAGCAGCGGAGGGGGGTCCATGACGTGGCAGTGGGAAAATAGACAACCGAAACCTCCCGCGTGAACTGCAAACTATAACCCAGGGAGGGGGAAGGACTGCTCGCTTCATTTTAATTTCACGCAAGAGGTTCTGGGCGGTAAACTTATTTCCATGTCTGTACCCACTTCAGCAGAACCCAGAGGGTCCTGTCTTGGGGACACCACCATCATCCCGAAGAGCCCCAGCCAGCGGCCTGCTTTCCTGCTCCCACATTCCCCGGACCGGACTCCTGTTTGGGGTACTCCATCTATCCTATAGAACTGTGGTCAGGTGTCTGTGAATACTGGGCCAATTTCTGAAACCTAACTCTGACAACCTACCTGCGATCTGGAATTTAGCCCAATACATCTGAAGAAATGGCATGTTGAGTCGGTTTTTTTGGGATACCTTGGTTTTCTTTTAAATTCCTGTAAAACGGGAATCTGATAGGCTGACCAACATGACAGGTAAGAACTTTCTGTCTCTCTAGTCCTGTCACAGAGAAGGCCAAGGCTGAGCTGGACCCAGCAAGAAGAATCCAGGCACCCGTGTGCCCTTCGAGCTCGCCTACTGAGGGCTGCTTTCGCTAGAGGCGCAGAGCTGGCTCCTGGACCATCCACTGGGGAAGCTTCTGGGGCGCGCGCCAGGAGACTGCCTTGTGCTCCACCTGCCCTGCCCTGGACACAGCCCTGGGGCGAGGCATCGAGAGACCACCTCAAGTTAATATTGGGATTTTTAATAAACCGAGAAATGGGATTTTAATTATTCAGAAACCCAGCTCCTCTGGGCCAGCTGCTGTTGGGATGGTGCTGGTCACACAGCATTAAACGGACCAACCGTTAAGAGCACGAGAAAAGCGTCCGAGACAGCCTTTGCAATTACCAACGAACCAGACTTGGTAGCACAGGGCATTGATTGCTGGTGCCCATCCGGACCCTCCTCCTCTCTCCCTGGTCCTCCCCCCACCCCAACGGAGGCAGGCTCCCGAGGCTCGGCCAGGACCTCGCGTCCTTGCATCGTGGCCCGGGCTGCATATTTCATGAGCCCTGGGTGAACAGGTGCGAAGTGCGCTGGGAGCATCCGGCCCACGGCAGCGCGGGGGGGAACATGGAGAGCGAGCGCGACATGTACCGCCAGTTCCAGGACTGGTGCCTTAGGACTTACGGGGACTCAGGCAAGACCAAGACGGTGACCCGTAAGAAATACGAGCGGATCGTCCAGCTCCTCAACGGCTCCGAGTCAAGCTCTACCGACAATGCCAAATTTAAATTCTGGGTCAAATCGAAGGGTTTCCAGCTGGGCCAGCCGGATGAGGTCCGCGGGGGAGGCGGCGGCGCCAAGCAAGTGCTCTTCGTGCGGGTCAAGACCACGGTGAGCCGCCTTCTCTGTTATTTGTCTGCCGGAGCAGCCCGGAAGGGAGGGCGGAGAGAGGGGAAGGCAGGGAGATGCTGGAGCCACTGTTGGCTCCTTGCCGCCCACCCCTCCTCAGCCCCCTCCTCAAGTCTTCCCAGACGCAGTGGCCGGGAGTGATTTCCCTTCTAGAAAGTCTTTGTGGTCCCTTATTTTAAAGCAACAGCGAACCTGCAGAGCAGGCGGCCCTGTCTGCCTCGGGGCTGCGCTGCAGGACGGTGGCTGGAGCTTGCCTTCACCGCGTCTGGCGGCGCCTGGTGTTCCCCTGGCCAGGCCATTGTCCCACGTCCTTCACTGGGCGCCTGGCGCGTGTCCTACCTCCGCCGGGGCGCATAAAGGCCAGGCTGGAAGCCCAGCCGCACGCTCCGATAGCACGGTGCTGATGGATAGATAGGCTACTGTGTCTCTTCATTGGCACAAAGCCTAAATGTGGCGGTCGAGGTGGTTTTGGGGCTTTCCCCAAGACACTATCGAGTTTTGTTGTGAGACAGCCAGCGGGGAGACACAGGACAGTCCGCGCGACTTGGTCGCCCCCTGAGGTCCTAGCCACGATTGTTTGGTTGGCAGATAAGGTCCTGGACATTCCTCCTCCCCGCCCCCATCCCCTTCTTCACTTGCACCACTGAAGCTTCCTCAGCTAGGCGATGCACAACAAAGAGAGACGGGTTTGGGCGCGATCAAACGCTGTATCTGTTCCTCTTTCTGGGTTGATTCTAGTCTCCTACCCACAAAGCTGTAGTGAACGAGGAACCGGCTGTGAGACCGGTGTATCTCATTCTAAAACGCAGATGCCTGTGGGGCTGGGAGGCTTCAGCAGCATCCGCTTCCTTTGCAAGACGATGGGAACAGGGGGCTACAAGTAAGATCTCAGGTCAGATGTATAACACCTAGCTGCCTCATGATGGGTACTCACCTAGACTGGGGGTGGAGGAGCTAGCTGGCACCCTTTGTATTTTTGTCTCGCTTTGGGATTCGTTGAGCTTTGCTCCTTCCCCCCCACCCCCTCCCCACCCCCCTTTTAACTGGCGACTATTTCCCAGTGCACAGCTCCCTGAGGATGTTAGAAAGAAGGCTTCCGAAGGAGAAGGTTTTGCTTTCTCTAAGGTGCATGAAAGGCTCTGCCACGCTCCGTCTGGAGGACTCTCTCAGGTTTGGAAAGGAGCTTTGGGTTTCCCAAGATTAATTGGGAATGGTTGCTTGAAGGACGGAGGTTTCTTTTGGAATTTGTATGGAAAATCTGAAAACAAAGGTGAACTAGAAACACAAAAGTTTTTCCTCTTCTTCTTCTTGAGGTTTAGTTGTTGAAGGCTTTGCAAGAGGTAGATGTAAATGTTGCCTTTGCTTTCTTCTGTAGCACAGAGCGCTGCTTAAGACAATGGTGAGGTATTAGCTTGCCTTGCTGGATGAAAATGACTAGCTGGGCATCATTTAGAGTAAGGTTTCTTTACATCTGCATGAGCCAGAAGTGTGTTACAGAGAGGAATTGCTGTGTTTCACGTGGATGGGGACTAGTATTAAGAATGGACAGGAAAAATAATTTATTGTTAAGCAACGTGAATTATAATTCTAGCTGAGTGAGTAAAATGTTATGTCTTTTAAAAGTACGACTTAAATGGCAATCTATAAATATTACATATTATATTATATATTATTGCTAGCCAGAAAGTTTTCCAGTTTTTCATTCTTTTTGTGTTAAATTTAGATTCTCTGTTTGGGTCCAGTGAGTTCATGCTTGCATAGATTTGATTGCAGCCTTTATATGTGTTAGAATATGTGTCCCTTTAAACACTAATTAAACTTCCAAATAACATAAATTTTATAAAGGTTGTACAGGCACCAAGATAATCGTGGGTGTGAGTTATTCAAACCAGCATTCACATGCTGTGACACCCATATTTTCATGTCAAAAAAATAAACGTGGAGTTGTTAGAGAATTACTGCTAAGACGTCTAATAGAGAGTGACAGGTGCAGGGGGATAATAATGTAGCACGTGTTTCTCTTTTCAGTAAAGATTCCATATATTAATGGGAGACAATGTGATCTGCCAGGTGATATTGTTAAATGATTTCCGTGTAGTATTTAAAGCACTCTGTGTTCCATTCAAGCCTAGTTTGAAATGCTGAATAGGATTTTAATTCATGAGCTCTTCTACTGTTCTTTATGAAAAATTTTCTGCTGCTCCTGACACAGAATTATAGGCTCCACCTTCTCTGAGAGGCAGCCAATCACAGTTTCAATCAGTTAAAAATAAATAAAATATCCCTTTTATCCTTTTTCCCAATGTCTGAATGTATTCCCCCGCTCCCCCCCAAAATCAAAACATTCATTTGTCTTCATATTGGCATGGATACAATAGCCAAAAAGACAGAAATAGGTTTTCTTCTCATTCAAAGCATGTATATTGCATACATTGGTTGAAATGAGGAACTGCCTGTGAATGGTATTTTCAAGTAGATGGAGAGTCATTCTGAGCTGTTTAGGGTCTGATGGACATTGGCTAGTTTTCTTTTAGTGAGATATGCTTTGCTCCTGATGTTGCATTAATCCACTGCTGCTGATAATTAGACATCATTACTGCAGCAAAAAGAAAAAGAGAAAGAAGAGAGAACAGGCCTGGCTAGCTAATTAACTACTTTCATTTAATGAAAGGGAGACAGATAGCAACTGGGAGGCTACAAGAGCAGACTAGACACACTACAGAGTCTTAATTGCAACAAGACAGTCTGTCAATCTCATAGTTAGAGGAGCTGGGGTCTACTTCTTACTTTCTCCAAAGAATAGACACAGCTTTGCAGGGACTTTCTTCTGACCCTCAAATTTAAAACTGATTGAAAATAAAAATTGTCAACAACTAGAAGGAATAAGTATGCCCTGCAATATTTGTCCTGGCTAGGTCTGAAGCTGAGAGGACTTTTCTGTCACTGATGTTTAGATAACTCAGTGGCTGAAATGACACTGTTTGGTCACCAAGCAACACCATCCTGCAACTCAGCCATTTTAGTTCTGGACGGGGACCTGGATGTGTGCTCATATGCAGTTCGCTTAACATCCCATCTGCTTATTTTTTGTTTGATTTCATGCAAACGCTCTTAGTGCATTTTTAAAATTAAAAGTGTAAGAAATTCTGAGGAATGAAAGAATAGATACCATAAAACTCTGTAAAAAAAAAAGACTCAGCAAATATCTGACAGTGATTGTAACAAACTCAGAGACATTATCAAATAAGCAGGAGTATGGCTGTTCTCTTTACTGCTTTAATAGTTCATTAGAAGCTTTTGATCCTTATTGACATGTTGTTTTGTGACAACAATTAATTGAAACACAGACATAGTCTGAATTGCCACAATATATTCTTACACTTGATAGTATGGATGGTAAGTTAAAAATAATGAGAAAATTTAATCTTTCTGTATTATGAATAATGCACTGTCTTGTACATTTAAAAACCTCATTACACTGTATAAAACATTAATGAGAAATTTAGTAATCCCATGTTTGCAATCCTTCTTTTAGCTTTAAATAGTGAATACTGAAACTGCATAATCAAATCATAGATTTCCTTGACCTATATTTGTAGGGAAAGACACCATGGTGCAAGCTTTGCCTCCCTCTACTCTCATCTATATTTACTTTACTGTGGAGCATAAAATGCAATTTCTTCCACAAAGGAATATGCAGTGTCTTTAGTGATGTGATTTAAAAATGATGATTTATTCAGTCCTGCAATCTGTAGCCTCAGAGTTCATATTGTTCTTGCTGTGCATACTACTAATTAATAACTGTAAAGTGATTACAATGAATATTCATGGACAAGATCATAAACAGTTAGCTTTTTGTTAGTTCTCTGACTATGGTGGGGTTCATAAATCCTTTATTCTAATCAGAGTGAGAGAAGTAATAACTTAGGAAGAATCTGCTGCTACTTCCTCCTCTTTAACATCCTGCTTTTGGAAACATCTCATGTATTCGACCTTCATCTGGAATTTGCTACAGATCTCAGAGAGGAGAAACTGTGCTCACAAACCATTATACTATGTGCCTATCTAAGAGACATAAGACATCATAGTGTCATGTTTTTGCTAATCTATTCTTAGATAGAACCAGTTGCCACTGACAACCAATGCATAGCACATAGTATCTACAACATCAGTTTTGGGAGTTAAATGGGGCCCAGAAATAATGCCAGCAATGCTGCTTATGGAGTGTCTTTAGTCATTTCCTGTGGCATTATCATAAGGAACAAACCATCTATGATCTTTCTTGTTCAATTTCTGTGTAAGCTCTCAGACACTGGGGACCTCCAGCATAGGCCACTTCCATGAGTGCCAAATGGCAGGACACTTAGATATAAGCACCCCTGAATATAAGGACTAAGTGTGTGAAGACTGTCCTAGATGAGGATCCTAAGAAAGTAACTCTTGACTTTTCCATCCATTCTTCATTGTCCTAATAGTTAATACAATGCGGGGGTGTCAACACTAGTATTTACCTAGTTCTTTCTGTGCCAGCTGAATACTTTGCTTCAGGATTTTATTTTGTAGACTCACTGCACAAAACATGAAAAGGTGAAGAAGCAGATACTAGGATATGCAGCAAAACTTTTAAGCCCTTCAATTTCGTGTTGGGATCATATAGCTATTTTTCTCACAGCTGTTGTATTTGCTAAGACTTCTACTTTGATTATCTAATTAAGGATGATCAAGATGAATCCAGTATGGTTTAGGTTATATCTTTTTTTCTAAAATCTGTGTATGCCAATATATGAATAATGGAAACTAGTTGGCAGGAAGCAGGACATTTATAGGGTATACGTCTTTGAATATCACTCGCTCCTTTGCTCTGCTGGTAGCAAACCTGACATCCAGGTAAAAATCTCCTTATAAAATATCAATAATGATACTTGCCTGGTTTGCAAAGCAGTGACTAATAATATAGAACATGGTTTATATAATACTAATATTGATCATATCTGATATGTTATATATGATATGCTAGAAGCATGTGTCCTAAGTAGCATATTCCTGGTACATAGCAAATGCTGAAAAGGTAAACAGCAGGAAATTGTTATAAACATCAACAAAGAAGAGAACTCCAAGTTGTGATTATAAATTAGGCATATGTTATGAATTCAAAACCATACCAAAACAGAGAATTAAAACACAATGTGCATGTGTGTATGTATACATGTGTATTGTTCAGATATTTATTATCATTTTTTGTAAAAAAAAAAAAACAAATGCCTTAAATTATAAATCCTATGCATTCTTATGATTTAAGAAATGCCAATGAATAGATGGAAGGAAAAAGCTTACCAAATGTCTCATCTAGACAGCCACTACCATCAGTCAATTACTTT